AGATGTTAACCCCTTGGGTGCAGCGTCGCATGACCGCACAATTGTTAAAGTAACGCAGCGCCATATCTCAAAAAGTGGTTAAATAATGCTCAATAAAGAAGTCAAAGTTTACTAATCATGTCTGTAAAGTGATCGTTGCACCTGAAAAGTCCTGATTGCAGTCTTGTAGGGTTATTTGTTAGTAATGTATTGTGCAACATAAATCAATGATTCTTAAACTTAAGTGGTTGTAAAGGCTGAAGGTTTTCAACCTGCATGCATTCTGTGCATGAAGGTAAAAAACTTCTGTGTGCAGCAGCCCCCCTAATACTTACCTGAGCCCCATCACAAGCCAGTGATGTTCATGAGAGCCTTTGCTTTCTGGGGACTCTCCCTCTTCATTGGCTCCCGCTGTTGTCAATCACAGCCAATGAGAAGAGAGAAGGGGGCAGGGCTGGGCCACAGCTCTGTGTGTGAATGGACACACAAAGCAGCAGCTCAGGAACAAGCCTGTTTGGGTACCTCCATAACAAACTGCTAGCTATGGGGGCTCTAGGCAGGAGGGAGGGGTCAGGAGTGATGGTGGGGGACTCAAGAAGAGGAGGATTGGGGCTACTCTGAGCAAAACCACTGCACAGAACAGGGAAATATAACATGATTGTTTTTTTTAATTGCCTTTAAATATCACTTTTAAGTCCTTCCAAAACCTTCCATGCTCCAATAGTTAAAAAAAGTTTATACTCATATAGTAAAAGTATTGAATGCAATATATGTATTTATAAAGCATTAAAAGGGAATTATCAGTAGCAAATACAGTTTGGTTTTAGTGGTTCTAAAGTTACAAGGTTTTTTTTTACCTTAATGTATTCTCTACATTAAGGTAAAAAACCTTCTGCAAGCAGCTCCCCCCTCAGCCCTTCTTATACTTACCTAAGTGCGATCTTGATCCAATGATGTGTATGAGAGCAGCGGCTCTCCCAGCTCTTTCTCTCTTCATTGGACAGAGAGGCAGCTGCTGCTGTCAATCACAGGCAGTGAGGAGGGGGCGGGGCAGAGCAGTGCTCGTTTGTCGATGAACACTCAGAGCCGACTCGGGAGCGACCATGTAGAGTGCCCCCACAGCACGTGACTTGCTAAGATAGCACTGGGCGGGGAGGAGGAGCTAGGAGCACCAGTGGGGGACCTGAGAAGAGGAGCATTGGAACTGCTCTGTGCAATATCATTGCACAGAGCAAGTATGTATAACTTGTTTGTTGTTTTTTTTTAATTACTTTACCTTTAGAATCACTTTAAAGTGATTCTAAAGGCAAAATATTTTATCTTTAATTTTTTATTATTCCCAGACATGAACTTTAAGCTATCTTGGAAAATAAGACTCCACATTCCCCTTCACATCACTTCCCCTTGAGCTTATTATCAGAAGGCACAAAATATCTTGGCTGGAGAAACTGCTAATCAGTGATTATTGTGATCAGTCATGTGACTGCCTTGGTGTTGGCTCACATGATCTGTATTGCTCCTCAGTCTGATCCTGACTTCAGTAGAGATCACAGGGCCAATGCCTAAGTATTGGTCATGGAACTGCATGCCATTAGCAACAAGAGATCAGTCATTCTATGCAGCGTAATATTTTGTGTTACCATTACCTTGTGTCAGGGCTCCCGGGTATGACCAGAGGTGTGTGACTGACGCAGGGAAACGCAGACTTCAGATATGTTATAAACAATATAATTTATTAACACTAACAATACAACATAAACGCAGTGCAATACTAAAACATAACACAGTGCAAACAAACCAAACCAACCAACCACAGATGACAGTACATACAATGCAAGCGTCGTCAGGCAGGCGGGGTCAATATCAATCGGGCAGGTAGGTACAGGGGGAGCAAGCGGAGAATGGTCGGGGTCACAAGCCAGGTTCAGCAGGTAGCGGGCAGCGTGGTACAGAGGGTCAGGCAGAGGAGAATGGTCAGACAAGCCAGGGATCAGGAGCAGGAGAATGGTCAGACAAAGCCAGGGATCAGAGCAGGGTCAGCAACGAATCAGACAGGAACAGGAACAGGGAGCAGGAACAGGATACAGGGCCCAGGAGAAACACACACCAAGGCAGAGTCTGCAGGTCTGGCCATCCCTTAAATACACCAGTATAATCAGTTCCAGGTGTTTGACTGGCTGCAAGGTTGAGTCTCTGATTGCTGGGAGCACCCGCTGGCCAGCCCTGGTACTGCAGCTCATAAGGCAGGTGAGTCCCACCATTGCTGGCCAGTCCATTCCTGACACTTCGTTTCAAGTAGTAGAGTAGGAAAGAGATCAGGGAACATCATTTTAACGAGGAGTCCACTTTAAGGCTCCATGTACACGGGACGTTTGGAAAACACTTCTGAATGATGGAAACTGACTGTTGGAAAACATAGGTTAAAAAACGTCTGTTTAGCCGCGTTTGCATACTGCGTTTATGCGCATTTATGAGCATTTGCGTTTAGAAGCGTTTTTTTTAAGATAACCTTAGGAGACCTTCCAAAATGCCCAGAATGCACTGAAAAACAGTAAAAAATTAACTATTTCAGAAACTTTACTATTTTTTTGAGAGAAATAGAGCAGAAGCAGAGAGAGCAGTATGTGTTGAGATGACCTGTATTTTCTGGTTGTATTCACTATGGATCTCATCATGAGCATAATGCGGCACGTTCTGCCATTTTTTCCTTCACGTAAAACCTGCAACTAACTGCGCTGGTGTGCTAGATCCATTTGAATACATGGAAAACAATTTGCATGCATTTCTGATGATGAAAAAAGGCTCTCGACAGCATTTGGATATGGAACAGTTAAAAAACGCTTCTAAACGCAAACGCTTATAAACGCGGTTAGCCGCGTTTACACGCATTGACAAGTGTTTGGCGTTTGAAACGCTGATAAAATCTATTCCTGAACGCAAGTTTGGTGCATTCAAAAAACTGACTGTAAACTCAACTGCCTGTAAATGACATAGTGTACATGGACACATAGGAAAACATTAGGGAGAGTTCAGGAGCTGCTGAAAAAAAAAGCAGAAAAGCTCCTGAACGTCAGTTTATCAGCTGCAGTGTACATGGACCCTAATAAGCTGTCAACTAAACACTTTTACAGAAGACCTAAAAAACTGGATTATCAGCTTTGGGTGGACTTACTCTTTAAGAAAATCCCTTTAAAAAAAAAAAAAGAACATGCTGTCTCCACATTAATTATTTTGGACTTATTGCTTCCCACAACTATAGATAATTATTGTGACAGTACAGAATATGTAAATATCCTTCCTGACATCTCTTATATTCCAGAAAGAACATCGAAGACAAATTTCCCCTCTTCTTTATCTGACAAGTACAATGCAGCATGCATGCTCCTAGACACATCCTTCAAACAGTTAAATGTATTGTCATTTTAAATGACATTTCCATTAGTCTATCTCCTACAACTGGTTGCCAGTTCTCTGCAAATTATAAATAGATTCTGTCTGCTGCTCAACTAGCTCATTTTTGTAGCACATAACAAATAACAGTATTTACAGTCAGTCATTTAGTGTTTCACAAATGCGAAGGTAAAATGTTCTGCCTCAGCGTAAAAATTGTGAATTAGCTGGCTGTAAAATGTAGTAATTGAAAAATATTTTGCAGAAAAGTAACATTTTTGCCACACATCATTTGTTCACTGTTAGACGGCATGCAAATTAAACTTATCCTACCATTCATGTAATGGAAATCAAAAAGGTGAACACTGACTTGCTGATATTTTGCTGAAGGTTTTTTAAAAGACAACATTTTAAAAAATCGTAAAAGTACAAGTAGACAAAAAAAAGTGTTATTAAAGTGGGGACTACGTATACATGATCCCAGATTATATGAGGACAAGGGTCTTTGCTTTGTTGGGTAGGACAGTTTTCAGAAAACCAGAACCCTCTATCTCAGAAGCTGTGAAAATTTGTGTGAAATTGAAATTGCAGGTCATCCATTTGGAAGTAATGGTGCTCTGTGAGTGCCAGAGCTGGACAGAACCAGGAATTTGAAGTGACTACAATATTGTTGCTGACGTTTAAACTTTCTCAGCCATTTCTGCAGTTTGAAAACGGTCTCAGTGCTCAGTATGTTATTTTGACTTTGTGCTGTAAGATCTTGTCTAAAAGTCTGTGAAGTGAATTTTAAGGGTTAAGTCATGAATTGGGGTTTGAGGGGGAGTAGGGTCAATTTTTTATTTTTGAATAGTTAGGAAGGATTAGAACTCTTGTCTTTGAAATTCCATTTAACAATTGGAAAGCTGCATCAAAAAGTGCTGAGGTACAATAGTATATGAAAGTGACAAAAGTGACTTTATACAAAAGTGAAGCGCAAATAAATAAGCGCTAAAGTGACCACTATGCAATAAGTGTCTCGCCAAGCAATAGCAAGGATGGTATTGACTTATATAAATATTGGAAAGTGACAATAGTGAATAGTCCAGCATAAATATGGTATAATGCAAGGGTAATATTAACCTCCCTAGCGGTCTGATTATGTCCATATTTCTGTGCTCAAAGCGGTACATTTTTTTTTCATGGAAATATGTATTTTATTTATTGTAGGCCTGTAATTTTTAGGAATAACTCACTGAAATCTGTCCGAACAAGAGTCCAGTAAACATCCCAGGTATGTTAAAATATGAAACACAAAATCATACATAATAATTTAATAAATAATCCTAAAAAAATAATATAATAATAAATTTAATTCAATAATATAATCAAACCAAAAACACAAAATTTAAATATAGCGCATCACTGAGCAAAGTCGCAAAATCGTTTTCAGTGTCTGATGACGAATTTCCCCACGAATCATTATCACTCAATTCTGCAAGTGGTTCTAATTTACTATCGCTGTTCTCTAGCCGGTCTAAAACCACTTTTGACCTAAAGGGACGCCTTTTGGATGCCATGGACGTTTCTCAGTTTCCAGGCAGAAAGAACAGTAAAAATGCAGGCAGGGCACAGGACAAAGCACTCGGGACAAAATGTATGTGAAATGGTTTGATACAGTAATGTTTTACTATGTTATTTTAGTGAATTTAGTGAATGTCACTTTCAAATTTCCCGCCGTTCCGTCCCCCGTACGTCCCGACGTCTCAGGGAACGGAACCCAGAAGACAGATGCCGGCATCCGCCGGAGGACATTACAGGGGACACTGCAGGAGGGACATCGCAGGAGCGCAGGACAAGGTAAGAGAAGAACAGATCCCGGAGCAACGCTGCATGGTAAGCCCGAGTGTAGCTGGGGGTTACTGCTTGTGGTACTGAAACTTTACCCTGAGCTACACTCGGGAATACCGCCAGGGAGGCTACTGAACAAAGTCCAATATGCTCCGTGAAATATCTGTGCATAAAATCATATCCAAATTCTCCGCGATGGGAGCATGGACCCAGGAAAGGAACTCCACTGGCTTATTAGCAGCATACAGGGAAGACCAGACATCAGACACTGGCCTCTCACAGCATACAGGGATAGCTCCAATGGTCCCTCACCACCATAGATAAACCATGTCAAAATAGATATGTTCCACCCTGGATGCCGGTCTGATGAGACATGATGGTGAAGAACCCACTGCTGGTGAGGGTTTACCAGGAAGTGACCTTTTTGAATATGATTTTATGCGCATTTATAATGCGCTTCTGGTGAGTACATTCATATAGCAATCCCTTAGCGCGGAGTCACTTGCACAGATATTTCACAGAATATATTGGACTTTGTTAATTAATATTAACCTTACATTATACCATATTTATGCTGGACTATTCACTATTGTCACTTTCAAATATTTATATAAGTCACTACCATACTCGTTATTGCTTGACAAGACACTTTATTGCACTGTGGTCACTTTAGTGATTAATTATTTGCGCTTCACTTTTGTATATGGTCACTTTTGTCACTTTCATTTATTGATCTTATCATATAGTGCTGCATGTCATATTTGAGGATATAGGGGTTCACCCTTTCATGCTAGCTGCTTGATTATATTGTGCGCTTGCGTGCTACCTTTTTGCATGACAACAGTATATAATTGTGATATGTCCATCTACAAGTATACAATCAACTACTTAATGGGTGGTAGTTGGTCTTATACCTGACTCCATAAAAGGAGGAAGAGACTTTATATGTTTGGGTTATGTTTCTTTTTGGGGGAATAGGGTAAAATGTTATGATTCAGGTTACTGTTATGTTTTTTCAAGGGGTGGGCTTTTATTCCAAAATAATTTTTTTAACTTAGTTTTAGATAGTCAGGATGGATTTAAAAGTCCTTGTGTCAGGGAAGATCGCCGCAGCGCACGAGTCTGCACATGCGCAGGGTCCCGACAAGGCTTACAGGCAGACACTAGGACCCAGACGCGCCTGTCATCAATGACGGCGTTGGACAGGCACTAGGACCCAGACGCGCCTGTTGGCGCCGGGAGGGCTATTTAAAAGGGCCACTGCAGGATCCAAATTGCCATATGGTCTAATTCCTTGCCTGAGATTCCTGAACTCTGTGTTGCTTCCTGTTGCTGAACCCAGCCCTGCTCCTGACTACCGTTGACCTTCTCCTGCCCTGACCCTTGGCTTGTCTCTGGATATTCTTCTGCCTACTCCTGACTGTTGTACCTCCCGTTGCTGAACCTGGCTTCTATCCTTCCGCCTGCTGCTCTGTTCTGCCCTGCCTTCTCGGATACCAGACCAGGCCTGCCTGACTCCGCTACTAGCCTCTCAGTGCATCCGCATCCATCCATCCCGCACGGACCCATCCGTTCCCTGCTCAGGTCCGCTCTGCCTCTTCACATCAGGCTCACCACTAAGATATGTGACTCTAGCGGATCCCTCTACCGCAGCTGGGCGTACCCAGGGGCCGCGACCTGGTCTCAGCCTGCTCCAAGTCCATCCCCACCATCAGGGGCTCTGGTGAACAAGCAGTCTGGGGCTTAGATACCGCGCCCTAGGGAACCCCAAACTGTGGACCTATAGAGCTACCGCCTGAGTTTCTTACACCTTGCCTTTGAAAACGTATTTAACACTTGGAAGGCCAAATTAAAAATTACTGACATACAGTCAGGTCCATAAATATTGGGACATCAACACAATTCTAACTTTTTTGGCTCTATACATCACCACAGTGGATTTGAAATGAAACGAATAAGATGTGCTTTAACTGCAGACTGTCAGCTTTAATTTGAGGGTATTTACATCCAAATCAGGTGAACGGTGTAGGAATTACAACAGTTTGCATATGTGCCTCACCCACTTGTTAAGGGCTCAAAAGTAATGGGACAGAATAATAATCATAAATCAAACTTTCACTTTTTAATACTTGGTTGCAAATCCTTTGCAGTCAATTACAGCCTGAAGTCTGGAACGCATAGACATCACCAGACGCTGGGTTTCATCCCTGGTGATGCTCTGCCAGGCCTCTACTGCAACTGTCTTCAGTTCCTGCTTGTTCTTGGAGCATTTTCCCTTCAGTTTTGTCTTCAGCAAGTGAAATGCATGCTCAATCGGATTCAGGTCAGGTGATTGACTTGGCCATTGCATAACATTCCACTTCTTTCCCTTAAAAAAACTCTTTGGTTGCTTTTGCAGTATGCTTTGGGTCATTGTCCATCTGCACTGTGAAGCGGCGTCCAATGAGTTCTGAAGCATTTGGCTGAATATGAGCAGATAATATTGCCCGAAACACTTCAGAATTCATCCTGCTGCTTTTGTCAGCAGTCACATCATCAATAAATACAAGAGAACCAGTTCCATTGGCAGCCATACATGCCCACCATGCCATGACACTACCACCACCATGCTTCACTGACGAGGTGGTATGCTTAGGATCATGAGCAGTTTCTTTCCTTCTCCATACTCTTCTCTTCCCATCACTCTGGTACAAGTTGATCTTGGTCTCATCTGTCCATAGGATGTTGTTCCAGAACTGTGAAGGCTTTTTTAGATGTTGTTCGGCAAACTCTAATCTGGCCTTCCTGTTTTTGAGGCTCACCAATGGTTTATATCTTGTGGTGAACCCTCTGTATTCACTCTGGTGAAGTCTTCTCTTGATTGTTGACTTTGACACACATACACCTACCTCCTGGAGAGTGTTCCTGATCTGGCCAACTGTTGTGAAGGGTGTTTTCTTCACCAGGGAAAGAATTCTTCGGTCATCCACCACAGTTGTTTTCTGTGGTCTTCCGGGTCTTTTGGTGTTGCTGAGCTCACCGGTGCATTCCTTCTTTTTAAGTTTTATGTTCCAAACAGTTGTTTTGGCCACACCTAATGTTTTTGCTATCTCTCTGATTAATTTGTTTTATTTTTTCAGCCTAATGATGGCTTGCTTCACTGATAGTGACAGCTCTTTGAATCTCATCTTGAGAGTTGACAGCAACAGATTCCAAATGCAAATAGCACACTTGAAATGAACTCTGGACCTTTTATCTGCTCATTGTAATTGGGATAATGAGAGAATAACACACACCTGGCCATAGAACAGCTGAGAAGCCAATTGTCCCATTACTTTTGGTCCCTAAACAAGTGGGAGGCACATATGCAAACTGTTGTAATTCCTACACCGTTCACCTGATTTGGATGTAAATAACCTCAAATTAAAGCTGACAGTCTGCAGTTAAAGCACATCTTGTTCGTTTCATTTCAAATCCATTGTGGTGGTGTATAGAGCCAGAAATGTTAGAATTGTGTCGATGTCCCAATATTTATGGACCTGACTGTACATTGTCGGGTAGGGGGTGCAAGCGCCCTACTGTCACATGGCACAGCACCAGTCGGTCAGTAGGTACTGGATAATGAATTATGGCTGGACCTGCTGATCGGCTTAGTGAATGACAGTACAGAGCCCTGTGTTTGCTAACAACACAGGGCTCTGTACACAGAGCAGATGTTGCTGTTTTTTTCTCTCTAGCAGGTAGATAACACAATCACTTATTTTAGTAAAAGCAGCACACATTACCCTTGTTAGGCACACAGTCAACCCTTTGCTAGCCCCTAGATGTTAACCTCTTTCCAGCCAGTGTCATTAGTACAGTATAGTATTATCTACAGTGTATAGTATTCACTGATCACTGTTTTAGCATCACTGGAGATGCCACTGTCAGTCAGTTCGCACCCAGTGTCAGTGTTAGATTGCCCGGCGCATTATCACAGTCCCTCTATAAGTTGCTGATCACTGCCATTACTAGTATGAAAACAAAATCCCAGTGTATGTATATGCTATAACTTTCACACAAACCAATCCGTGTACACTTATTGGTATTTTCTTTTACCAAAGACATGTAGCAGAATACATTTTGGCCTAAATTTTTGAAGAAATTTGATTTTTATTTAAATTTGTATTGGATATGTTGTATAGCAGAAAGTAAAAAAAAATGTTTTGGTCTTTTTTGATTATATAATAAAAAAAAGTAAAAAACCCAGTGGTGATCAAATATGACCAAAAGAAAGATCTATTTCTGTGAAATAAATTATATCAATTTCATTTGGGTACAGTGTTGCATGACCATACAATAGCTTGTTAAAATAGCGCAGTGCCAAATAACAAAAAATGCCCTGGTCATGAAGGAGGTAAAAATCTTCCGGAGCTTATGTGCTTAATAAACTCCAGCGCAGATATAACAATGAGACACACACACACAAAAAGTGACAAAACGCTCAGTCATTAAATAAATATAAACAATCCCAGTAATGATTGTAAGCTCCAAGGATCAGGGCCCTCAAATCCCTCTTGGATTGAACTGTATTGTTGCTGTATTGTCTCCCGTTATATTGTAAAGCGCTGAACAAACTGTTGGCGCTATATAAATCCTGTATATTAATAATAATAATGTGTCCATAAATTATATAAACTAAAACTATAGTGTTTATATTAAATAGTGTCCATATAAAAAGTGTAGAACAATATTCTATTTACAAACCCAAAGGTCCAAATGGATTCCATGATCTTCAGACTGTTTCACGAAATAAATGGAGGTTAAGAATCAAGAATAAATTTACTTTATCAGAATTGCCTATTTTGGCTACTAGAGAATAATAGTAAGGGGTTGTATGCAGCCTTTGGACCCCTTACCTACTGTCAGGGTGACAACAGTTTCACCATATAGGAAGTGAGAGAAAATCAGCAAATGGGATACAGACAGCAATGAAAAGTGTACAGGGGTTCTAGCTTCCCTCTGCTGTTCTAAGATAAAAAAAAAAAAACAAAAAAATAAAACATTTTTCTTTATCGTCCATTGAGGGACACAGGATTGTAGAATAGTCAATGATATTGTTATGCTGCCATGTACAGCTAGTGTCCACCTCCTGAAGGTAGCAGCTTATAAC